TGATACAATAATACTGACATTTCTGAATCTGAACACATGATAGCCTTGTTAAATCAGATATAGTATTTTACTGTCTTTTGCTAAGGTAGATAGCTGACTGTCCTGCAGAAGGGTACCTTTCATTTTTATAATGTAAAGGGCTTTGTTTTGAGGTTGGGGTGGTTATTGTCAAATTGATTGGATTAAGAGACACAGGAAAGCCAGCTGGGTCCTGGGGATACTATACCCATCAATGCATGAGTCCACTGTTGTTAGCGGAATGTGTTGTTACTGTGTGGGGCTTAGCTGAAAATGGGTCACTGAACATGTACCTTTGAAGGGAGTGGCTCTTGCTGGTGCTCTTTTCTTTTTCTTTCTTTTTCTTAATTTTTTTTTAAGTTTTTTGGCAGAACCGGGGAATGAACTCAGGCCCTTTCGCTTTCCAGGGAAGTGCTTATTCCACTGAGCCATCTCTCTGGTCCATTGCTGGTGCTCCTTACATGCTTTGTGCTTCCCAAATGTCATAAAGTGAACAGCTTTCATCCACCAAACTGTTCCTGACTATGGACTGAGCTCCCAGAAATCATGAGTCAAATTAAATCTTCACTGTTCTACGATGGGGTTGTTAAGTGTTTTGTCCTAGCAACAGGAAAGGTGACCATCACAGAGACTGAGGATTCCTTCAGATAGCATCATCATTGTTCCATGAGAATGACATATTATTTGTTAGTTTCGATCTGTGTTTAATTTTGCTTATCAGGAAGGGTGAAGTGAAGACAAGTAATGGTGTGTCATTTTCGACCCAGGGACAGATTGGCATCTAAAAACTTGTAATGTCACAGTCTTATCACACTTTTTGCCTTCACCCAGTAGGCGTGTTTCACTCCAATGTTGTCCAAGTTCTTCCAGAGTCACATTTTCCTGTATCTAATTGTATTCTCCCTCACTTTCTATGTCCCCATACGTGCTTTCCCCAATATGGTTTGTCCTTCGAGTATGTTTTAAAACACAGTGTCAATATGAATTTGAACATATTTAATACATATTAATTTTGTTCTATTCAAAATCTGAAGCACATTGAAATCTAAGCTGTATAAATCCATCTATAAATATATTTCAAAACTGTAATTTTCATGTAACATAAAATGGCTTCCTTCAAAAATGCCTCAATTATCTAAAGAATTGCTTGTTATTCAGCATACAACTAAATTGAGAGATATTGGGATGTTAAACTGAAAAATCTCTCTTCTTTGAAAATAACTGAGACTTCATTTTGAGTTATTTCAGGTTCTTTATTACATTTTAAATGTGATGATGCTGAAATTCTTATTAGATTATTTACATGAAAGATAAGACATTTAGAAACTGATCTAAGTACCAATATTATAACATTAAGTCAAAATATTTTCTTAAGAAATCTAATTCTAGTTAATGGAAAGATGTTTTCATATAACATTTTCTCTTAATTATATGAATAATTTAAATAAAATGTTTCCAGGTAGTTGCCTCCTATGGAAAACGAAAACTGAAATTTTCTTTAATTATGTCAAAATAGCCATGGAAATGCACAGACACTTGTATGTGAAGGTAATGTCATATCCTAGCAATTAAACTTTATAGATGTGTTACAATGTAAGTAAAGTCAATCCCCACAGCATGAGAACAGTTTAAAAGAAAGTGCCTCACAATATTCTACAATATCTTATCATACCTTGATATCACAAAAAGTAAAAAAATTATAATTGTAAGAAATATGTGAGAATTATCAAAATATACAATTACAGATTTTGGGTTGTGAAACTGAAATCAAGGTTGTATCTCTTCTGTACAAAATAAAATCTCAACTTTTTTTTTTTTTTTTTTTTTTTTGTGGAACAAGGGATTGAACTGAGGTCCTTGCACTTGCCAGGGAAGCACTTAATCCACTAAGCCATCTGGCCGGCCCCAAAATCTCAACTTTTTAAACGTATTTTAGTACAAAGTATACAGGGTCTATGGGATCACACTGTGCAGATCCAACTCATAGTGATTCTCTTGTTTTCAGCCTCTCATGTGCTAGAATTACAGGCGCGCACCACCACACCCAGTCTTAATCAAGATCTCAGGGCACCCCGGGTGCGAGGCCAG